GGGAGTACTCCTTCCAGACCTGACCTGCTACTGAACACAGCCCTCGCAGTGTGCTGACCAGTCAGCCTAGCATCCCCACACGGCTGCAGAGTCCCGGTGCCCAGGACGCAGCAAGACTCTGGTTAAATGTCAGAATTAAAAACTGAAGATGTGTTTTGAAATTCATAACATCTCCCCTCTGGGAGGCTTGTGTTCTATACAGTGGTTTCAATCTACGCCTCTTTTGATCTGGGAGGAAGGGACGGGAAGTTCTTATTAAACACTTAATAAAAGCAGTTCTTTTATTCCGAATGCATTTTCAGAAACTCCTTTGTAACACGGTACTTCCTCTCAGCAGTGAAACGCTATTAGGGAGAGCAAACACGGTCTGCAGATTAACAAGGACACCGCGGCCAGGCTGCGGGTAATTAGATGACGGTGTTCTCCAAGGCATGGAGATTCAATTTCTAGGGGCACCGTGTATTTTACATCCCCTGGAAAAAGAACCAGCAAACTGGCCCAGCATGAACAGAGTCTATGCGCAGCGCATCTTCTGGCGACTAAATTTCAAACATCCTGATATCTCACTGTGGCCAGGCACTGTGTTAGGCAGAGAGAATTCAGAGGGGAGAGGACACCGCACCTGCGTTCCACGCCATCACCATCTGCTTGGGAAGACACACAAACCAGGTGATCGTAAACAATGAAGAACACGATGAGTGCTATCATTAGACACCACAGAAGGGAGCAAAAATCTGATTTGGATTTTCAGCGATCTGGGCAGTCCTGATGGAAACAGAGTGAGATTTGACCAGGGCTCTAGAGGGTGACTAGATGCTCTACAGAAACAGAGTACAATTCTGGACAGAAGGGAGAAGTACTTCATTCACTCAGAGTCAGTCGTTGTGCACGCGAACATTTACTAAGCAACTACTATGTCGCAGGACCGCCCTAGGGCCTGGGTATGCAGACGTGTAAAAGCCAACAGTGAAGACCTTTCTGAGGAGTCATTTTAGGCAGGAATTTGAAGGATGAGAGGGAAGAAGCCATACCAGAAGTGGCGGGAAGAACTCTGCAGAGAGAAGGAAGGACCTGTGCAGAACTTCAAGGTGGGGAAAGCCCTGGTATACCCGAGGCAGTGGAGGGAGGCTGGGTGACCTGGGGTGGAGCTCAAGGAGACATCAAGCTGAAGAAGGACTAGAAGTGCTGTTCCGTGACTAGGGGACAGAATGTGAGCGGGCTTCTAAAGGCCATCACTGCCTTCAAAAAGATGAAGTGTGTTTGGGGACTCTGTGATGAGAACACAGAAATACAGTCCCAAATCCACCTCTGAAAGGTCACTCTGGCCGAAGGGGATCAGAAGCACGTGAGAGGGAGAGGGGCAGAGAGGTCAGACGGCAGCAGTGGCACCGGTTCGGGGCCGAGACGCTGGGGTCTCCGCCGCACTTGCGGCAGTGGAGACAGAAGGGGATGGATGCAAAATGTATTTTTATACTTTTTTTATTGTAGTAAAAAACAACAACAACTCTTCCATCCCGTTACCCATACTGGCTGCAGCATCTCACATTCCCATCAACAGTGCACACGAGTTCTAACTTCTCCACGCCTTACTGATGCTTGTTATTTTCTGGGTTTTTGATAGTGGCTATCCTGATGGGTGTGAGGTGGTGACTCCTGTAGTTTTGATAGTTCTATATTGTATTTTTCATTTAATATTTTGCCACAAACATCTGGCTATGTGATTTAAAATGATCTGTAAACATAATTTTAATTGCAACATAGTATTATATTAGATAGATATATAATAATTTGATCCAATTATTGTCGACATTTAGGTTGTTTTTATTTTTTCTATAAGATATAGACCTATTATAAATATTCCTATGTGTATATCTTTACTCCATTTCTGAAATGAGAATTTTGGGGTCAAAAGGCATGAACATTTTAAGGCATGAACTGATAAATTATTTTTAGAAAGGCTAAACCAATTTATATCCCTAGGGTATGAGACTGCATCCTTACTATCTGTGAGCATTATGGCTTAAAAATATTTACTAATTTTATAGATGAAAAATAATTTATCTGTCACTGAAATTATTTTATTGTTTTTGTGAAATGAGGAAGAAAACAGTCTCACAAAAACTGCATTCTAGTAAATTCAAACCACGCCACTGTATCAATTTTAATATCACAGATCAAGAACTCGAGTTTAAGCTCACAAAGTACAAGTACATTTCTAAAAGACTAGTCCAAACAACAGAAAAGCCCTTATTTCTGGCAGTCCAGACTGGCGATCGCGCCACTGAAGGCAGCCCAGCAAAGTCATGCTGAGCGTCAAGCACCCAACACCCTAGAGCCCCTAACCAAAGACTCGTCCGAACTTGTTAGCTTTCTGGTCAGGGCAGAGGGGGAGAGATTAATCGTGGGATATAATTCAAGCTACAGCCCTTTCCCTCCCCCTGCCACTGATAAAGAGCTGAACTAGATCCCAAAAGCCTTTTTTTCCGATTCAGAAGGCACCTGGAGCAAAACTGCTCACTCTTCTGTATCATATAAAAGAACTCCTTAGGAGAGGCACTGGGGAGAGTCAAAGGGTAACTCCCTTCCTTCTTAGGATGAATTTTAATCTAAATCCAAGAAAATTGGGGTCAAGTGGAATCTGTAGTTTCACACAGGCTGAGCCCTATCAATGACTGGCTTGATCTGACCTGGGAAAATAGCACGCAGAAACTACCTCTGCACGTGCAAAGGCTCAGACAGCAGGTGCTGAACACTGGGTCCGTTCAGGACCTCATCCCGGGTTAAGCCTGGACTGTGGTCTCACAAGTCTGAAAATCTGCTGTTGATGTGCTCAAAGGCGCCTTGCTTCTCAGGAGCACTGAGAAGCTTACAGACAAAGCTTACAGAGTTGCACAGATCAGAAAGCCGGTTAACAATGTACATTTTCTATCTGCTAGCAGATTCACAAGAGAGACCAAATGACAATCAGAAAGTGTCACAAGAATCATGGGACCCGAACAAGAGGAGGCACCAGGACAACCTGTGAGGTCTTCTCCACCGAGAGCTACCGAAGGCCTCGGCGCGCACTGCCGGGAGCGGCCTGAGCCCAGCTCATCTCTTGTCCTCCTTCTGAGCTCAGCTCGCACGTCCCCTCCTCCAGGGAGCTTCCTCGACTTCCTGTATGGGCTTCCCTCTCCCACTTACACATTTTCATTACACCCTATGTTTTCATTTAAGCTCTTGCGGCAATTTTACTTAAGAGATTTTATATGTTCTCTTGTTTATTATCATTCAGTTGCCTGAGAACGAGAGCCACGCCCGTCTCACTCACCACTCCAGCCCCGATCTCAAGTGGACGGAGTTGCTGGCAGGCATGCAGACCTTTGTGGCAGGGAGGACAGGTGGGAAGGGTACGAGAGCACAGCGGCTGCGAGTGTGCCACGGGAGCAGCCTTCCGACGTGCCTTCGAGTTCCTTAGCCAAGATTCCCTTCCCTTCTGCCGGAGTCAGAGAGGGGCACTGCTGAGTCCGCCCACTAACTCTACTTTCCTGGGTGCGTTTCCGCTGCTGGCTGGACACTGTGATGCTTGCTTGGGATATGCAATGCCTTCGGTCAGATGACCATTTAGTCAGACTGCCCTAAGTGTCTTTCTGTCTGCTAAAGCAGCTTTGTATACCCCTCGGCCTGACCTAGTCTATGATCAATTAAACCTCGGGGAGTAGCCCAGCTTCCAAGCCCTCAGGATTTCTATCGTACCCTGTCATCACCCAGAGCTCAGGGTGGGGACGCTCCAGGACGTACTGCAGTCACAGAAGGAGGAAGACAACAGTGCATGCACGTGGCTGACGCCTGTGCAGACGTCACACAAGCAGAAGCTACAGATGACATTCTTACGTGCTTCAGTTATTTTCTCAAAATATGATATTAATTTTGATAATTAAAAACAAAATGAGCACTGGCCTGGGAGTCTGGGTGAGAGCTTGACTGTGCTGCTCCTGGCCCTGACACCGATTCAGCTGTCAGCAAGGCCGACTCGGTGCTGGCTTCCGCTACACGAAGGAGCTGGACACGCGACTGCTACAGTCCCTTCCAGGCTTGACATTATTACATTATGCAATGGTTATTCTTCATCTAAGACCTTGTCCCCAAATTCATACACACCTCAAAGGCCAATCTAGCTGCTGGTAATGACCACCACCCACCCAGGAGCCTGGGATAAGCATCTCTAAAGAAACCACAGTGGGATCTTGGAATTTTTCTGATTACAAATGAAATCATTCAGGAGACAAGCAGACACCCGAGGGGCCCGGCAGCAGCATCACCACAGATTCTCTGACACGAACACCTTCTCAGCGCCTGTTCGTGTCAGGATGGTGGACTGGAACGCCAGGGAATCTGGCTGCGACCAGCTCCAAGGCACCCCCTTCGTTTGATTCTCCCCAGAGGCAGGGGGCTTGTGGACTTATTCTCCACATGTAAAACAGACAATCATGACCAAATGTTTCCGTAAGTGTATAACTTTCACAGTCTCTGCAAAAGGCACTCCTCTTTCCTATTCCTGATATTAGGAACTCAATTTCCTTCATCTCAGCCCCCAACGCACAGATCCAGCACAGACCCTGTCCCTGGTGCTAAATTACCCTCTCAAACAAGCATTCAGCTACAGTACAAACTCATTATGAATCTGCATATAACCAAAAACTCATTTTAGTTTTAATTAGGTGGTATGTTAGGTTCAAAGTCGGGTTTGTGCTTACACACTCTAGCAACCTCCTTAGAAGCAGGCATTTCGGGTGAGGCCCCTCCCTGCCTGAAGGGAAACCACCGAGAAGAATAAACGCGGCCCGCTAAGGGTTTGCACTCCAGAGACACATTTCCTTCCGCTGCAGCAACTGTGAATAGACTGGGCACAAAACTGCATTCCAAAAGATCTCCAGTAGGACATTAACAAAAAAAAAATACATAGCTGAAGCCCCAGAGACTGTGTCTGTAGCTGGGATCTGGAACAGCGTGCCACTTGCCTGGAGTAGTAGGACTCCACCCCCAGCGCTTCCCGCACGCTGGCGATGTGCTGCTCCAGGGCCGAGCTGGTGGCTGCTGGGAGAGCTGCACTGCCACCGGCCTGGAAGTCCCCGGCACTTTCCATCGTGCTGTCACCCAGGTAGTGTTCGTGAAACTTCAGAATTCCTGAAAGAGGACAGGCACAGCCAATGTTACCCAAGACTGGGGCTGGGGAGGAAAAGGTACAGGACAGGATGGAAATACCAATGCGAGGTGACCTCCTCGGCAAGCACCCCTTTCTCCAAACCAGGAGAAGAAATCTGGAAATCCATGATCTCAAGAGGGTTTTCAGAAGTTTGGTCAGTATCCTTTTTGCAGCTCTCACCATCGGGTGTGGTGTTTATAACCAGGGGATTCGAGACAGGGCTTTCGATTTTGAGGATACGTTCGGAAGCCCCTGAAGTGAGGACTACTTCATAGGTATTTCAAAACAGATGTTTCTGAGAAGTACCAACCAGGGAAAGTTTTCTCTCAGGAAGACCGCATGAGCATGCCAGTGTACAGTCTCCCCGGAAACTGAAATCCTGAATAAAAATACAACCAGCCAAGTGGAAACTGTGTTACTCAAAGACCTTTCATTTTCACAAAAGCAAATCAAAACAAATATGTAGTACAAAAGCCAGATAAAAACATTTAAAGCCATTTTTAAGTAAGACTAAACTGGTCAACGGTCATTAATGGATTAAAGAAGCAAAAAATGACGGCTGCATAAAACAGAGAATCCATAGTGGTTTTCTAGCAATAAACAGAAGACATATTCTCAAATGGTAATGAGGTGTGTCAGCCCCGGAAAACGCTGGTCCTCTCTGATTGGATTAGAGCCCCCGTGAAAGCTTCAGAGTCTCATTAAGAGCAAAGAGGAACAGAAAGAGAAACAATAGGAGCCTCATTATACATGGCTCATTATTACAGGGATCCGGATATACCACCTGTCAAATCATGTCCCCCAAATGTAACCGCCGCGGAGAGAAAGAGCCTGATATCTCTGTTGTCAGCCGCGTCCTCCTGGGTGTCAGTGCCCTGCTGGGGGCGGGAGGACACAGGGACTCGTGTCGCTGTGGCTGACACGCACCAAGGCGCCAGGAACATCACAGCTGAAAACCTTTGGCATAAAAAGGTCAGCGGTAAAAATGTTTTTTTTTTTTCAGGAAAGCCTATAAAAAACATGTAATTCAGGGGACAAGATTATAAAAATAATGCTGAGGCACAGAATGTACAGGCACAGTGCTCAGCACCCAAGGAGCATCTGAAAGCTGTCATCCAGCCATCACTTTTTTTTTAAATCAAAGGCATGGAAACATAATCAAGAAAACCTTGTCAATTCTCTTGGCAGTTGAACTTTTTGAAATTGGCTTACAGATATTCAAAAAGCCCATTCTTCAAGATTCCCAATTATAAGATCCACTTCTCCAGTCAATAAACGCTAATTGGATCTGGTGTGTCTCCAACATGGTAAAGCCATCAGCATTTTATTATGCAAAAAATATGGCCCTAGCAGCTAATTAGTGGTGCTGTATTTAGTGAAACTGTTACAGCCTGCACATTTATGCCAATTTAATCAAAGGAGATTTTTACTTCTGAAATAGATTTACAATGAACAGAACTGGTTAAAATGGGTTCTGCTACACTCGGAAATCTCCAGCATAAGACTTCATTTATATACTGAGAGAGGAGTGGCCATTATTGTCTCAGTCTCTTTAACTTTCCCGTGACAAAGAGTCACAATCACTAAATCATACCTAGAAAGAACTCATTAGGACTTGCAGTCATCACTTTATTAGCTAATAAACAACAGCTGCCTAAAAATAGGACTACTGGTGAAATTAATCCTCCTGCTCTTCGTCTTCCTTGACAAATGCTCCCACATTTGCTGGTGAGGAGCGGCGATTTCGTGGGGGAATGAGAAAGCTGGGCTGTCTTATTAATTGAATGCCCCACCATGGACTATCTGCCGTGGCTGAGATTTTGCTGAAAGCCCACATCAGCTTCTTAGTCTTATCTATGGTAATGTACCTCTTCCACCTCTATTCATTAGACCAGGGGTGTCAAACTCATTTTCAATGGGGGCCACATCAGCCTCGTGGTTGCCTTCAAAGGGCCGAATGTAATTTAGGACTGTATAAAGGTAACTACTCCTTAACTAGGGGCAAGGAGCTCAGCGGTGCCGCCAGGTAGTAACAAGGTGCTGGGCCAGATCAAACAAGGTGGAGGGCCGAATTCAGCCTGAGGGCCTTGTGTCTGCCACCTGTACATTAGACGTTCACAGTCTAGTATATAATTGCCCTGCTCCCACAGAAAGAGATCTTACCTGCCCCAGGAGCAAGCAGCCAGCTATACAGGTAGCCTGCGGCCAGGGAGTAGTAAAGCACTAATCCTCTCTGGCCATTCACCATCTCTAAGATCTGGTCAATGGTGACTGGAGAGTAGGGGTCAGAGTCCTGTTGTCCTGTTTGTCGTTCTACCAGAAGATCTGCAAATGCCCTGGTACGTCCTCTTTCTGCTACCGCCAGGGCTTCATCATGATGACCTAGGAGACAAGAGAGACAGACTGAGGACCCCGTGGGGAATGTGCTTACTAGGAGAGGGTCTTCAGCCACAGAGATCCTGGGCAGGAACCTCACTACCTCTGTGTTTCAATGTGTGGCAGAACCTCAGCCACAGCTGTTGCAAATTCAACCCTCTGCCTCAGACGATAGGTGCAGGGCCCACTCTTACAAAACTCCACACTTTCAGATTCTACCCCACCCTAAGGTCTCCGGCCTGCCCCTGTCTTGCAGCCACACCACAAGAGAGCCAACTTTGTTTAGAGGATTCATCCTCTGCATTTGCTCCACGTCCTGAGTTGCTCCCAGCCTCCTGGTTCTGACCCCATTTGCTTGGGTCTTTGGACCACGACGCTTTACACTCCGGTTACCTTCTTCCTGCCCTGCTCGAGTTTGACTCTGTTTCCACATTGGGAGATAAGCCTTACGGGACTTGGCTCTTGACCATCTTTCAATCTCTTCTCAGTGCAGCCCCTCTGGACTTCACATTGACCTACCCACTGACTCATCCCCCGCCACTGCTGTCTCTGTGCCTGATGGGCATTATTCAAAGCACCATATATATGCCAGGTGATATTATTGCTAGAGCTGATACCTCATTCCACTCTGGTCTCCCCCCTACACACACACTTGTCTCTCCTAATCCCCAAAGGCAAAAGTTACCTCTGAGCTCTCTAGTTCTTTGAAATTGCTTCTCTCTTTTAAGCTTTTCCTCAGTCTTTCAATCCAACTTCTAATCCACTTCCTGTAAGAAACTAAGCTGCAATCTAGTTTAAAAGCTAATGCACAAATATAGGAGCACAAACAATACCAAGCAACATACTTTCAAGTGAGGACTGCTTAGAGGCGCTGAAGGAACACAGTGCACAGGACCTGCTTGTGCTGTAAGCACAGCTATGAAGGTGTTGCTAGAACTGGGGTCCAAAGAGACGGCAGGCAGAGGCAGGAGGCCAGGTGCTAGGGCTCCGACAGCTCGTCAAGGATGCCTCACTTCCCGCAGTTTAAGTATCGGCAGAAAGTGGGGATTTACGTGTGTGTATGCAAATACCTTCTTTTATCCTATTAAGTTATTAACTGGAACAGCAGGAATGCTTTCTGTGCACACTGGTAAATCAGCCCCAAAGTGTTAGACAGACTTAACGCTGTGATTATAATAGATATAAATTGTAATCTCAGGCAATGAGTACATTTAACAGGTCATTTTTCCAGGGGAAATCTGAGTATTCACACATACACAGCAAAGAACGGGTTATTGACAAGGCTTCAGCATTGGACTTCAAAGGCATTGTTAGTTCCAATAAATACCTCCTGGACCCAAGTTCTGGGCTGGGAAAAAATGGTCTGCGGAGATGGACAGGTCTGAGAAGAGGCAGGGGCCAGGACAGCTGGAAGGGGGTGGCTGCGACAGCTAAGGCCCAGGGGAGGGAAGGCCATGCTGCCCCAGTGCAGTGGGGCACACAGGCCTGGGAGAATCCCCACTACGTCACAGTCTGGAGGGCAGACTCAGGCATTAAAAACATTTACTAGAGAGCAACTAAAAGACGCGTGGGCACAGGAAATTGAGAAGGGGCCAGGCGTCTTCTCAGGTTCTCCCCATGAATACTGAGAGGGAACCTATGAGGAACACCTGGCTGAAGCGTCCTTGTCTCTAGGACACCTTCTCTGGTCCCTGGGACTGCCTGCCAACCACTTTGTTTCTACAGCACCTGAGCGTCTTCTACCCCAGCGTCCACCACACCACCCTGGAGTCATGGCCTTCTGTCTCCCGACAGGCTGAGAGCTTCTCGAGGTCAGCAATCAGGCCTTCTTGACTTTAACCCCCGGGCTGGCACAGAGCACGTAGTAGGTGCTCCACGAACGTGTGTTGAGTAAACGAACACACGTTCAACAACTGCACTGTGGCTGTGGCCTCACAGCCCGTTGCAGTGACGAATCGCACTTCATCCCAGCAAGCACTGACAGACCTGGACACCCGAGCGCACACGCAAAGCGGGAGCCCCAGCCGCTCTCACCCAGACTGACGAGCACCCGCTGCAGGGCCTGGTAGGACGACGTCTGCAGGTCGAAGAGCGAGAGCTTGTAGTCCGTGCTCAGCTGTGCCTCGTGTCGAATGGTCTCGAACAAGGCTGACGCCCTGTAGAGCTGCAGGGAAGGCAGAGAGCATTACCCTTTCCCCGGAGCCCCTGTCCCACTATTCACCGACCAGAGACAACTTTTGCTCACATTTTGGTGTACAACCTAAAGAGTTTCTTTTTAAGGGTTGACAGGATGACTCCACTTCCAGGTGGGTCCTAGTGGAAAGACGTCAGATCTTACCAGGTAAATTACAGTTTACATAATCAATTGCTGACAGCTAAAGTCAAAACCCTGAAACACAGGGGTTATAGACCTATAGTCTGAAAGTTGTAAAACACAAAATCAGCTATTAATCCAACCAAGTGCTGCACTGGAATTTTAAGAAAAAGCCTCTCCTCCTGGCATCACGCAGCCATAGTGCCGGCCCCGAAGGATGGAAGTGAACAGGGGCAGGTGGCTGGAAACGCACGAGGCTGGGAGGGGGGTGAGACCAAGGCAACACCCTCTCTGGAGGGACGGCTTTCCGCAGGCGGTTCAGCTAAATCAGCACTGACCTCCGCAACAGTGTCCCAGGGCCGGGTCTTTGCTGGACAAGCCCCCCCCCCCCCGGAGCCATACCCACTCACAAAACCAGACACTGGACACTCCTAAGGGGACACTCTTCCTGCTGCTCTGAAGGCTTCTCTGTCACCGAGACCACAAAGCTTTTCTCCGATACTGACATGCTGACAACACAGTGCCAAATTTTAAGTTCATGCAAATTAAAAAAGTAGAATGCTAAGACGAAGGGACTTAGACTAGGACAGAGGAATGTGCTCCCAACTCTGCCACTAATTTGGTGTGTGACTTTTCTTAGAATCCAGAACCTCAGTTTCTTCTCTGGAAAGAGGACTGGTTATCAATCTGCCTCTCGTGATTATTTAAGGAATACAGTCAGGGAGTGAAAGTACTTTGAAAATTGTAAATCACTACACCAATGCCAGTTTTACTTTTTAAATTGAGGAATTAATTCTTAATTTGCCTCTAATAGTTTAAAAAGTATAGTAAATTTCCATAACATTTCAGGACGCTATGGCAAAAATTCAGTCACACCATGTCCTCAACTCCTGTGATCACCTCCAATGGGGGCTTGACTCCCTTGTCATTTGCGCCCCCTGCCCGGCACACGGCACCCCACTCACACGCTGCCTTCGTGGCCATGTGTGTTTCCCGAAACTCCTCCACCCTGCCAGGGAACCCATAACTCCAGAGAGCTTCCCAGTCCCCACAGCCAGCATGCGGGCTGCTCTTCAAAGACGTGTACACACAGAAACATGCACTGTGTGTGTGTGTGCATGAGAGAGAGAGAAAGAGAGGGAGGGAGAGAGGTATCTACTGATGTAACTAGATACCAGAAGGACATTAAATCTAATAATTATGAATTCTCAGATTCCTTACTTCTATCATAATATGTATGTATATAATTTCATATTGAGGATTAATGAGGAAGAGCAGCACATAATACAAGAATTCCAAAGAAATTATTGAGAAATCTATCATACAACTGAGCAACAATCTTTACTGGTGTTCAGTACTTCTGGGCTGGTACAGGCTGAAAACCCTGTAAGTCAACCCAAGTGGGGAGGTCAGCACCTTCTGGCCAATGTCATTACTACGAAGATAGTAATCCCAAAGTCTCCCATGATTCTGGAAAGAAAATCCACTTGGGACAGGGGTTCCCCTATTCACCTGGTGCTGAGCCTCCTCCAGGTTCCCACTAGCCCAAAGGGAGAGGCCGAGACCGTGGCGAATTTTGGCTTCATCCTCTCTTCGTCCCAGTTGCTCAGCTAACCTCAAACCTGAAATCAGATAGAGAAATTTTAAGTGCACATACAAGATAAACCATCCCACCTGCCCAGGACTCCTGGAGACCTAACTCTGCCTCAGGTGTATGTAAAACATGTTAACACAGCTTGATCCAAGTTCAGGGCCAGAGCAGAATCAGCCAAGGGTGAGTAAGCATTCGCTTCAAATTCTGTGATGGCAGCAACCTTTCCAGGACACCCCACGATGCCCCAGGAAGAGCGCAGGCAACGGCTATCAGCAAGAGGCGGGTTTGCGAGACAAGCAGAAACAGTGAAGCGAATGGAAGCTAAGCTGCCACCCTCCCAGCTGTGAAACCCCTCGCTTCGCAAGTGAAAACTCCTGGCCTAGAAACCGATCTAGTCCAACTCCTTGGCTGACAGGAGCTTTTCCTGACAGTTCCGTAGTCAAGCACAGAAGCCAAGCTGAAGCTTTTTCGCATCTCGCATGCACAAGATCCAATCGGTGGTGATGGGAGACATATCTGATGTGCTCTTGAAAGCAGCTCACTCACACCGCCTGACCCTGCCTTCTACTACTGATGCTACTGACACATTTCATGTCCAATCTGTTTTCCCCTTACGGCTAAGGCTTTGATGTGCCTCAGCAGGGTGGCAGAACAAGTGCTATTAGGAGTCCGAAGTCTTAAATGAGACTGTCCTCATTCTAACGGCTTTCAGATAGACACCTGCAGTTTGGGTCACTTACCTACAGTAAGCTTCTGAATTTCAGGACATCGGCAACCTCCAAGGCTTTGTGGGAGCCAAACAGGAGGGCGACCGTTTATTGTACTGGCCACTAAGCAGCTCTCAGCATCACTTCGCCCTCATTATCTCACTCTCTGTACACAGGACTTAGCTTGTGCAGAAAGCAGCATGACGGCTCCCACACTGCCACTGTGCACACAAAGGAAGGAAGGACTTCCTTTCTCTAATCTAGTGCAGTCTAGATAGGAGCCTGCTTCTGAGCACGCTGGGCCCATGCAGTTTCAGGCTTTTGAAAAGGAACTGAGTCAGCTGAGAGGCAAATAAAAGCAATACTCATGTTCGAGCTCATAAAAGAGTATGCATTTCAAAATGCACATAACAGAAAACTTAGAAATGGCATTTTAGGTTTAAATCATGTTGCTAGCTAGCAAAAATAATACTTGTTATTCACATTTTAAAATACCTCACAGAACAGAAACACAAGAGAAGGAACACCAGGTTCTTGGGTAAACACCAGGAGAACACCAGTTGTTTTAACCTTCGACAAGCTAACCATGCTCATTCTTCAGCACAGCTGTCCCTGACAGCTCGGGGTCTACGAGCTGGAAGTAAAACTCACTAAGGCAGCCCCCACCCCAGGTATGTTCTATGCAAGCTGGACCTTTGCTTTGCTCCCTGAGGGGTCCCCAGCATGTGGGACACTCCCTGGCCCGTAGTCAGAGGCTCGACAATGAAGAGCTGACAGCCATGGGACTGTCACAGTCTCTGTTATGCCAGCTTCCATCTGCTTCTGCCTCTCAGGAGTCTGGCCCACCCATCCAGCTCTCCTACAGCTGGTCTGCTAGGAACTACTTCCGTAACTCCAGGGAAAGTCACTAAATTGCTCAAGCCTCCCTTACTTTATTTGCAAAAGACGAAAAAGCTGGATGAGACCAGTGGTTTTAACCAGGGCCGTCCATACACATCACCTGCAGAGCTTGCTCAAAAGGCTCAGACCAGCCTCAGCTGTGAGATGCTTCTGCAGTGGGCGGGGTGAGTGACCTGGTGACCTACTGCCCCCCCTCCACCGAAAACCAGGAGCAAAAGCACTGAGGGGGCTTCCCCCTGAACGGTTCCCTCCGTGCAAGAGGGAACAGACCCAGCTCCGAGAACTCAGACAGGGCTCTCCAGGTGACCTGCTCCTGTCGCCCCTCAGGAGCAGAGCCGTCCTGCTTGGCCCAGAGGGCACCCACGCTCTCTGTCGGAGCACATCCACAAAACAGACACCATGGAGATGCCACAATAACAATTTAGGTCTCTGCGAGAGACTTAAAACCACAAGATACAATAAAAATGAAATTGAGAGTTTCCCATAAATACAGAATTATGTTACAACATCTCAGGCAAAGCAGCTGCTTTATGGAAACAGTATTTCAGGAAGTACAAAAGAACACAGCTGAAAGGTTGTCATATGCTGGGTCTGAATTTAATAGTTTTCACAAATTCAACTGAGAATCGCCCCCAGTCTGTTGGAATTCCACCACAGTCAGGTTTCAGGAAACCCGAGGCCAACTCGCGTATTCAATGCACTGAGGCAGCCTCTCACTGAGTGGGAGCCCAGCGAGGCCTGGGAAGTCGCTCCCAGCCTCTCTCAGTCACCTCTCAGCCTGCAGGCCAGAGCAGCCCCGGCCTCAGCAGAGAAACATCAGCCTCTGGCCCATTTTCCACTCTGCTTCCTGTCGCCCCCTCCTGGCTTCCCAGCTGGGCCTCAGAGGAACAGGGCATCTGACTGTCCACACCCTCCTCTGCTCCTGGGAGGTGAGGGGCTTACGAGGTGCCTGGGGTCCGAAAACCTGGGCTGAGCCCGACTCCACCAGTGACTGGCCACAGGGTCAGGGTCAAGTCATTGTACTCCCTAAGTGTCTGGTTACTTAGCTGCACATGGGAGTAAAAACCTCTCAAGATTACCGTGAGAATTAAATCCAATTAAATAAACTGTACATGCAAAAACCCTTGGAAACCATAAATGAGAGCTTTTGCATGAAGTCAGCAACACTTTCCTTCAACTAGTGAGCGGAGAACATCACCCCGCCATTTCCCTCCCCAGATGAAAGGGTGCAGTGTGCCTGGGTGAGGGGAGGGGCTTCCCAGAGCAGAAGTGCAAAGAGGTGAAGGGTAAACACATTGTTAATAAACTGCACCAAACCAACAGGGAAAGGACAGGGGGACGGAAGGGGGTGAGGAACAGCCACTTGGGGGCCTGCCTGGATGAGGACTCCTGGGCCGCCGCCCCAAGCACTGAAGGCCATACAAAACCTAGGAAGGAGGCCGCATCTAGTGCTTGAGTGACGCTCAGACTGATGCTCAGGGTTAGACCTCAGCTGCTGCATCAAAATCGACTTCTGTACAGTTCTGAAATATTTTCTACAGGGGCACTGGGGCTTGAAACAGATGGGTATTTTCCATGATTAGATCGAATTTGATTCACCTTGGGAGAATGCTGTTTACTCACTAGAGGATTCCTAAAAGCAAGGAGGGTGTCTGCCCCTGGGGCGGCCGGCTACCCGAGGAAGACCAGTGGGTGATGTGTGCGGGACCCGGGAACACAGCTTTCCCGGGGTGGCCCCAGGCTGTGCGCACTTCCTTCCCGGGGGCCTCCAAGGAGCTCCACCTCAGAGCACACCAGGGACCCCAACGGGCCTTACCTTCCTGTAAGTACATGACCGCCTGGGAATAGTTCTGCAGAGCATGATGGGTCCTTCCGAGGCTACTGTACGACACCGTCTTGGCCACCAAGTCGTTCATCTGGGCAGCGATGCTCAAGTGCTGCTCTTGGTAGACCACCGCCCTCTCGAAGGTGCCCAGAGATTCGTAGGTCAGGCCCAGGTTCCCGTAGGCGCGGCCCTGGCACGTGGGGTTGTTGGTTTCCTCCGCAATCTGCAGGTCCAGCTGGTGGTACTGCAGGGCTGTGTCATACTCCCCCATCTGCTGGTAAACGCCCCCCAGGCCACAGGCCGCGTCACTCTCCAGGGCTCGGTCTTTCATCTCCCTGGCAATGTTCAGCTGACGTTCAAGGCAGGAGATGGCTTGTTCGCAATTCCCTAATTGGCTGTGCAGACTTCCCAGTTCTCCATAGGCCTGGGCTTTATTAAAGGCCTCCCCAAGCTCATGGGCGACCACGAGCCTCTTTTCAAAGCACACCAGGGCTTGCTGCAAGCTCCCCATCGCCCTGTGGGGATGTAGACAGAAAAGCAATGATATTATTTTGTGCAGGTGCAGACATACTAAAGCCCCTGAGAAAATGAAAAACATTTGTCACTGTCACTTACTATAGAAGCTCTTAACTCCTCTTCTAGCTAAAATCTATCATGTGCCCTTAGAGTGAGATGCAGGGGAATTTCATAATCTGGAAAGCAATTCAAAAGTCATCCCTTAGTGACCTTCCCAAGAGCCTGAGATTCAATGGGATATACACCCCAGAGGAAACATAAAATATATTAATAGGCACAATGATAGCAAGTGAACTGTTTGGTTCTTCGGGCCTCCCAATTTCCACTGCCGCTTAGACTATGTTTTTGAAATCACTTTACCGCGGCCATGAATCTTTCCCCCTGAGCCCCTCGGAGCGCTCTGAGGGTGATGATTTAGTTTGACCCTTGCCCTTCCTCCACTCCAGGAGCCCTAATCCCCTGCCTATCTGGAGAGGCCATATATTTTGCAGACACAGATGCCTTCTTGGGTTCCCCACATTCAGAAGGAAAAGCATCACCTTGGCCAACAGTGTCTTTTTGTGCTGCGGAGAGATGACATGCTAGGAGTGGGAAGAACACAGATTCTGGCCGCAGACCAAACCAGTTGCGTGGGGACATGTGAATTCCTTCTCCTGAGCCTCTGTCTCTAAATGATAATAAATCCCACATCCCATAGCAGATGATAATAAATGTAGTAGTATAGGGTTGCTATAAATATTAAGCAAGTGTCCACACAAGGTGCCTAGTACAGTGACAGTACTCGCATATGTCTCTTCACTCCTGACACTTTATCAGGCGGCTTTCCTTAAAAGCAACAAAACCAGGACCGAATAATTGGTGGGTACAGATGTGTGAAAAAATATATCCACATAAGGTGGGAGGCCTTCAGAAAAGATCGGTTAAGCCGGTTCATTCATCTTTCCCATTCTTGTCATCTCTTTTCTCCTGCTCATTACGATGTAGTCACAAAGGCAGTGCAGTGGGGTCGGAGAGCCCTGGGTCTGACTCTCGGCTGTCCCTTTTAAGCTGTGTGATATTGGACATTAACCTAACCTCTCTGGGCCTGTTTCCTCCTCCCTAACACAAGGGTAACACTATCCCCTGCCAAATCACAGAATCATTGGGAGAACCAAATGAGATATGTATGAAAATGTTCTGTAGCCAATAAACCACACTCTGACCTTAAGTTGCCATCACTGTCACAACTGCTCTTTGTGCAGGTTTGTCAGCCACACATGTCCCCTGTCATGTTTACCTGTGTCCGTTTCCTAGGCCCCGGTAAGCCTTGGCTTGGTCTTGCATGCGATTCAGACTCTGAGCCACAGATAAATATTGTTCATAGTACTTGATAGCTTCCTCATAGTCACCCAGGGCCTCGTAGCAATCCCCCAAGTTGCCGTAGGCCCGGCCCCTGTCGAGCACAGACTCGTTTCCGCTCAGCTGCTGCAGCATGGCCAGCTGCTGCTCAAAGTAGCCGATGGCTTCTTCCATCACATTCATGTTCATCTTCGTGATGCCCATGTTGCCATAGACCTGGGCTTCGAGGCTTGGATCCTTCAGCTTCTGCCCTAGCTCCAACTGCTCTTCATAACATTTGAATGCCATCGTGTACTTCCCAAGGGCCATGTAGACAGCAGCCAGGTGCCCATGAGCTCTGCACTCTCCCGGCAAGTCGCTCAGCTCTTGATACACCTCCAGTTCCTGCGTGTGATAACCCAAGGCCTTGTCGTACTTCTGGACCATTCGGTAGGCAGTGCCTAGCGCTGCATACGCACTGGCCTCCAGTCTTCTGTCCTTTACGTGGTGAGCTAAGCCCAGCTGCTGCTCGTAGAATTTTATTGCACCATTTATATCTTTTTTACAGATGAATATATCGCCCAGGTTCCCTAGGGCTCGAAATTTAGCCTGGGAATTATTCAGGGACTGAGCTAGGGACAGCAGGTATTTTTGACACTCTTCAGCTTTGCTGAAGTTCAGCAGAGCCTTGAATGCTAGGCCCAAGTTGCAGTAAGCTTTCGCTTGGCTCAATTTGTCGTGAAGGTCTTTGGCCAGTGCTAGATCCTGCTCGTAGTACTTCACCGCCTCCTGGTAATTTCCAAGGCAGTAATGGGCGTAGCCGAGGTTGTGGCAGACCTTCCCTTCTCCTTCCATGTCTTGCAAGTCTGGAGAAAGCCGGAGGTACTGTTCATAATAGGGGGCAGCTTGGACATACTCCCCCCGAGAGCAGTGGAAGTTGCCCAGGTTGCTGAGGGCCCGGGCCTCACTCTGGATGTCTCGCAGCTCCCGGGCAATGTTCAGGTGGTTCTGGTAGTGCTGCAGGGCCCGGTCGTGGGCACCCAGGGCTTGGTAGGCCACAGCAAGGTTCCCGTGCGTGGATGCCTGGGAGGCGCGGTCGTTTACCTCCATGGAGATCTGCAGCTCTTGCCGGTGGTACTTGACCGCCTGGTCGTACATGCCCAGAGCATTATAGGCATTGCCCATGTTCCCGTAGGCGCGGCCCTGGGCAGCGTAGTCACTCAGCTCCTGGGCGATGCACAGGTGGGTCTTGTGGAGTTTCAGTGCAGTGTCATAATCACCTTTCATCTGGTGTATAATTCCTGAGAAAGAGAACGAAAGGGACAGAAAAAGGTTGGAATACCTGATTAGCAACTTGGAAAAAAATGTAATTTGCAACTCGATTTACACTCACATATAATCCAGATGAATTAAAGACTTTAAAATAACAGAAGGTAGAATTAAATATTTATTAGCTCTCCAGAGGGGAGTTGGCTTTCTGTGCTTTGAAGCAACAACAACGACAACAAAAACTGACAGATTCCATTTCAAAAATAAGACATTTTCTACTACAAATCTATATATAAAAAAGTAAAAGGCAAACACAATACCGGAACATATATAAAACATATATTAAAAATTCGATAGCTATTTGTATAAAGATTTTACTTGGTCTTACTTCTTTAAAAATCGAGATTTAAATTTACTGAAATAGGCAAGGAACCTTGCGAGCAGATGACTCACAACCAAGGAAATCCAAAGAGTAACCAGAGGGGAAAATGCTAATTTGTTTTAATAATCAAAGAAATGCAAAATAAAGCAGCCCTGAAGCACCATTTTACTTTTACTAAATTAGCGAACAAATGATTTAAAGAACATTCTGCACTGATGAGGTTGCCCTGAAACCGGCGAGCACACCAGCCGCTGGACACGGCTGAAGCAGCCCGGGGACAGGCGGCGCGGCAGGAACCTCGGCGGCGCAGCAGCAGCGCCGTGAGACCCCGGCTGCCGCTCCCGGGAGCGTGGGGTTCTAGGGAAACCCTCCGACCAGCCCAAGGGCTATGTGCACAGCAGTGTTTACTGCGGCCCTACGGGCCAGTGGAAAATCAGAAACACCTCACATGGCAAACACCGGGGGACGTGTATCAGTTCAGTAGAGGATCATGCGGTCATTAAAAAGATAATTATGAAGTCAGTGCAGAAAAATGGAGGGAGAGGGTTCTTACAATAATGTTAAGTGGAAAAGGCAGAAAACAATGCGGTGTGCTCGTGACGACAACTAGGGGAAAAAATGTGCACGCGGACAAGCCCTTGAGGGGGATTATGCAAAATTAAAAATAGTGGCCTTGTTAGGTGATGGGATTTAAATGATTTTTGTTCCGAAATTTCTTTGCAGCTTTTACTGTCAACAATAATAGCACCTCAAACAACCCTCATAAACTATGCTACAATCTACTAAGCTGAGTTATTGTTCTCACAAGCAATTCAAGTGAGGTGTATCATAAATATCAAGTAGTTCCAAATGAGGGATATTGTAAAGGTAACTTCAGAGATGCCTCTAAGGTGAATGTGGTTCATCCCAGTTATGGCTGGGGCTTGCAAACTGGTTTCTCCTCGCCCTTGGTTTTGACCGTGCTTTTTCACGCATCAGTGTGTGAGCTTTGCAGTGATGGCCAAAACCTGCAGAAAATACAAAAACTCAAAGACACCAACATGGGTTCTTATTAAAATATCTGAACTGAAAATAGAAGCACTGAGAAAGAAAGCTGTCAAAATCCAGCCAACGCGATTTCCTTCTCTCTGTGCCCCTTTGGTTGATTTGTTTCTTTGTTCATTTGTTCATTCACTCATTCACTCCCACACTGGCCCAGGAAACACTGAGTGTTGTATGCTAATGCTGTGGGGGGTAGCAGGGGGAGAGAGAGAAATGAAGACAGGAGTCTGCTCTCAAAAAGCACACAGGGTCATAGTGAAGACAGAGCGAGAAACAAGTACGTCAGCACGCATCGTAAGTGCTGAGGTGCGGAGGCGGGGAGAAGCTTGGCGGAGTTTCTCCTCTGCTCCCACTTCCTCCCTGCCTGCTATGGAGGTCTGCCTGGCCCCAGGAGTTGGGCCTGTCTTTGGGACCAGCCAGCAGTTTGACATTAACTGGACTTAGGGTTCTGGATAAATAATCTAGTCTCTTTGGGCTTTGTAAGGTTCACCTATAGAATGAGAAAAATAATTACTGACCTTAGAGGGTGGTAGTAAGGATCAAATGAAATACTGTATGTGGAAGTGCACTGTAAACTATAAAGTGAAATTCCAATATTAGTTACTGAAATTACTAGGTGCTTTTAGGAAAAGGAATTCTGGAGGTGGTAGAGATTAAATAAACTGTGGCAATTCTTCTGTATATTTGCTTATATGAGTAAAATATTCTGTAATTTAAAAACAACTAAGAAGCCATAGTACTCTAAATAATGCAATAACATGGCACCATTAAAAATGATAAAGTGGAAGTTTACGTATTGACATGGGAAAAAATTCCAATATATTAATAGGATATATGGTCACAAAACAGTACATTTTAATAAAAATGTTAATAGAATGGGTGTATGTACTTATATGCTTACATTTACACTACATATACATACAGCATAAAATTTATGTCAGTGTTAACAGTAATGATCTTTGGGTGGTGGAATGGCGGAGTTTTTTCTTTTTAATTATCCATTTTGTGTGGTTTTTTTTCTATGGTGAATGTATAACCCTCAGTTTAAAACTTACTGAGAGCATTTTGGGAACTCTGACCCAATAGGAGGAGTGTTCTTCCTGGGGGCAGGGTCCAGCCACTCCCCTGGGCTGGAGACGTCACCAGCATCCTAGCTGGAAAGAGTTCAGAAGCTGTCTCAAGGTTAGGATCTCTAAGCAGCCCAAGAGGCACTACCTTAGCATTATCTGGAACCCCTTCTGGTGGTGAAAAATCATTAGTGACGGACACATTTCAGTTCTAAAGACCTGCATGTGGCCTGTCCCCTTAAACTGATTTTATCTCAAGAGAAACTTTTAGATTTTGAATTTCCAGGTATCCTTAGAGAAAATGAGTCACTCCACTCCCTCTCTCCTGTTTCTGCATTTCCGAAATGAAGGTCAGAATACCGACCCAGCCACGAGTCCCCCCTTACAGACAGGGCCAGAACGGGGGGCGGCCCGCAGCAGCAGGGCCGCCTCTCCCCTGAGCACTTTCTCCCCCGGCGATGTCCTTGCATTGCTTTCTTCCCCTTGCAGCTTTTGGATTGCACTGCAATGATTTTTAAGGCAATATAATCACGGATTGGAGCTAAGATGATGTTGGGACCTCCAGAGGAGGCAATCAGAGGAGGCCATGGTTTTTTGCCTGCTCCCTGCCACCAAAGACACAGGTCTCCTTGCTAGACCCCCACCCTCTCTACGTGTACCCCATCATGCAGTAAGCTGGCTAGGCACCTAGAAGGCACACTATAATGGAAAAGGACGGAACTGTAAGAAGTTCTGTTTGACAAGCCTAGCTCTCACCTCATTCAGCTGAGAGACAGTCACTTTATGTCTCTGAGCCGTTCTTTCTTTTTTAAATGGAAAACTTTTTGGTGTTTTTTTTGGCCCTTTTTATTGTCTTTTATTGTTCGTGCTATTACAGTGGACCCCACTTTTTCTCCCTTTGCCCTGCACTCCCTCCCAGGCAATCCCGTATCATTGTGTCTATGGGTCATGCATACATACGTGTTCTTTGGCTAATCCCTTCCCCTTCTTTCATCCAGCCACCCCCCTCCCCTCCGACAGCTGTCAGTCTGTTCCACGTATCTATGCTTCTGTTTCTATTTTGTTCGTTAGTTTATTTTGTTCATTAGATTCCACATACAAGTGAGATCATACGGTATTTGTCTTTCACTAACTGGCTTATTTCACTTGGCATAATGCTCCCCAGGTCCATCCATGCTCTTGCAAAAGGTAAGAGTTCCTTCTTTCTTACTTCTGTGTAGGACTCCACTGTGTAAATGTATCACAGCTTTTTCATCTACTGATCTGAGATGGGCACGTAGGCTGTTTCCACATCTTGATCTTGGCTATTGTAAATAGTGCAGCTACGAACAGAGGAGTGCATACTGTTTTTTTTGTGTTGGTGTTTCAGGATTCTTAGGATATGAATACATTCCCAGAAGTGGAATTGCTGGGTCAAAAGGGAGTTTCATCTTTAATTTTTTTGAGGACCCTCCATACTGGTTTCCACAGTGGCCGCACCAGTCTGCATTCCCACCGACAGTGCGCTAGGGTTCCCTTTTCTCCACATCCTTGCCAATACTTGTTGTTTTTGACTTACTGATGGTAGCCATTCTGACAGGTGTAAGGTGATATATCACCGTGGCTCTAATTTGCATCTTTCTGATGATTAGTAATGTTGAACATTTTTTTCACGTCTATGGGTGACCTGTATGTTCTCTTTGAGAAGTGCCTATTCAGGTCCTTTGCCCATTGTTTTTTTTGTTTGTTTTTGTTTTTGCCTTCTTATTAATAAGGTAGGGTTATAATCATCTCAAAGAAGTGGTATGAGAAACATCATAGTCTCCACCACTAATCTGTGTGAACTATTTAAACGTGGTATGAGCAGTATTTAGAGAGTGAGAGAAGGGAAAAGAAATTCTCTGTCTCTTGCTCTTCTGGCCTGAAGAGCCAGGCCTAGTTAATAGGGAGCAGTTGGGACGATAATAGCTACCCAGGGCTCCATGGTTTGTGAAAGGAACTGCCTGCTGGTTACTGCAAAATGACCTGACCCCAGCCGGCCTGCTGTGCACTCCCCTGCCCCGCTTCCCTCCTCCTCCTCCTCCCCCCCGGCACTTCCACGGACCTGTAAAGGACCCAGGAAGACTTTCTAAACAACGGCTCCGGACACGGCAAAGGTAAGAGGAGGTGGACTGGCTGAGTAGGAACTTCTTCACCTGCCCCGTGTCTTCACCGCCCTGGCCGCTGCCAGCCCGGAGAATTCTGAACGGCACATTGCACACTCCGGGCAGCCCTTCTCTTTGTTGAGGCAACATGAAAGGGCCCTGCGCTGCCAGCAGAGTGACTGCGCATGCTGAGGAGATAATCTGCAGATCCTCCTTCCCTTTGGAGACCCCAGCGTGATTTCCCAGGGCCGTCACTCAGATGAAGACTTACAGAGGGCCTGTCGGCGGGGGTGTGCTAGGTGACAACATGCCGCAGGGAGGGGAATTAAATGAAGATTAGTGGGGCAGAAGACCAGCCACAAAGCAGCGCTCTGGCGGGGTGTGTGGAGAAAAGGCATGTGGTTATGGGTTCACACATG